TCTCTATATATATGTATGTATGACTGGTTTTGCTCCTCCAGAGAACCCAGCTAAGACACCAGATAACAGTGGAGGCAACCAGGCTCAACAAGTCAAAAAGCAGATGGGAAATGACTTAGCAGAAAGAATCCTGGGAGAGCAACAGAGAGCTTTTATTCAGACATAAGAAGTTCAGAAGAGCAAGGAGAACATCTGTCTTGAGCAGTGTGCCTCAAGGGATACATCACAGCATCTGGAGGGCTTGTTAAAAATGCAAGTTCCTATTCACCATCCTCTCCCACATCATCCATGCCACAAACCTCCTGAATCAGGACCCATGGGAATCTGCATTTTTAACCCATGATTCCTAGGACACAAAACCTAAAAATAAACCTTAAGATTTAAAAACCACTATAAGGGATATAGATATTAGGCTGAGAAGGGGAAGTGAGGAAGAGGAGATGCTTAATAACATTAATAAAATACCTACTATACACCTCGTACTAGGCTAGGTCTAAACACTGTTTCACTAATAATGACAAAGATGGAGAAAGAGAAATGAACCAGACAAGATCAATATCATCCCATGATTATTAAGCAGGTTTACTGACAATTTAGTATAAATCTTGCTCATCTACCAGAAAGAGGGCTAAACTTTATTTTCACAGAGCTTTCTTTAATTTACCTTTACCCAGAAAAAGCAGTACCTTGAGATGATTTTTAATAGAAGTTCTTATTAAAGGAAAGTACTGTGAGCATGAATCTTTTAAATAAACATTGCCAAAGCCAGAAATATGAAAACATCTAGTAACAAGATTATGCAAAAACATACGTGTTAAACTGGACGGGGGGGAAGCAGTGCTGGCTGGAAACAATGGCACTTTCACAAAGATCACCAATCAAACATCCTGTCAACAGGAATTTATTTCACAGTTATTCTACAACAGGTGACAGGAATTATTTTCCTCATTTCACATATTGAATGAAGACAGCCCAGGCAGCTTACTCCAAGCAATGGGGAAAGTTTATGGGCTAATACCGGGACTACTGACTTCCAGAAGAGTTTTTTATTTCTGTCTTCGCCCTCATAGCTTATCACACAGAACTGCCCATCCCTTCTGTGAGCCTCTGCCTTTCCAGCTCTCCCATGAAAGATAGTTTTCAGGCTGAGAAGCTCAAAGTGTATCGGTGACTCAGAAATGGAGATGTTTTTGTTCACTCACTTATCAGGTTCTGCAAGAATCCTGAGCACTTGGCATCCCTTTTCTCAGACCAGGTGTCTTGGGCTGGATTCTCTACAGAAGCAAAACCAGTGAAGTGAATATCTATATGTAGTGAGAGATTTATCTCAAGGAAACGGTTCACACAGTCGTAGAGGCTGACAAGTCCCAAGTCCATAGGTCAGACGTCAGGCTGAAGGCTTCTCCTGACTCATGTAGCTTCAGGGGCTGATGAACCCAAGATCAGCAGGTCAGACAGCAGGCTGCTAGCTCACTGCCTGTGGTGGCCAATAAATCCAAGATCAGCAGGCAATAC